CCCCAAAACCCCAAAACCCCAAAACCCCAAAACCCCATTTATATATCATCGGGTTGAAACTAAGGTATTTAGATTAAGACTTTTTAGCCGCCATGACATCGTATACAAGGTCTTCTTTAAATTTTTCCCACTTTTTCATTTCGAAATAAGCCTTTCTTATCTCTTGATCTCAAGGATACTCTTTTTGGTATTCTATGAATTCCTTTTTGATATCATCTTCGAGGGAATTGAAATCGTATTGATCAAGAATAAAGATCTCTGTAGGAATATAGGTCACTACAGAATACTCTATTGGTTGCTTTTTGATAAGTGAAGTGTCTCCAAAGCAGTCCCCGATGCCGAGTTCATCAATTTCTAGAAGTTTGGACTCAACCTTATGCTCTTCATAGTCCTCATCAGTGGGATCCTGGTCGTAATCCTCAGTGTCCTTGAGTCCTTCTGTAATAAAATCGATCTTTTTGAGAAGTTTTATTTTGCCAGTTTTGATAAAATAAATACTTTTTGAATAATCTCCTTGTCTGATTATTATTGTATTTGTAGGTAGAGTTTTATAAATAACCTTCGTTGCTATTTTAAGGAGGTCTTTGCGCCCAAGATCATGGAATAAAGGAAAGAATTCGAAAAATTCTGTGATGTTATCAATCTGATCCATCTGAAGTCCTTTAATAACTTTGTCATAGATCTTATTTATCCAAAACAATAAGGTCAGAAGGCTCAACAGCAATAATTGTAGCACTTCTTGGCTCACCGTAAATAAGAGCGAGCTCTCCGAAACTTTTTCCTTTGTTTAATTCGTTAATAGCAGCATCATTAATGTATAAAGAGACTCTTCCAGAGTAGATGATATAAAACTTATCTCCTGGCTCGTCTTGCTCAAACACGGTTTGTCTAGCTCCGAAATGCTCGATCATCATGTACCTTCAAAGTTCTCGAAGTTTGCTGGAATTCTTGAATTGTTTCAAGAACTCATTGTCCTCAACAATGGTGAGGATATCGTCAATATCATCACTTGTCCTGTCCTGGGGCTTTTTGAGCAAGACTTGGCGGAGTTTTTCCTTCCTGTCTTGCACTAGGTTAAGTCCATCGTCCATTTAATATTTATATAAAAATTTTAAATTTCTAAGATTAAAAAAGGGGTTTTGGGGTTTTGGGGTTTTGGGGG